ACTTTTAACTGTTCTGCTTTATTTTCATTAATCTCTAGTCCATGACAGTCTTTATAATTAGCATGATAGTAATCTAGGTTATAAAAATCTAGTTCTTCATTAATAAAAGTTAGTATTTTGGAGGTATGCTTTTTTCATAGAGTGTGATAATTAAGAAGTGTGACAAATAACAGAATATGACAAATAAGAGGTGTGATATATAAGGGTATGACAGATAAGGTATTACCTAGTGTAATAATAAAATGATCAATAGATTGACGTATTATCAATATAAGATAAAAGTTGTGTAATTTAATTAAAATAAGTTACTAAAATTAGATGAAATAAGGACTTGTGTAAATTAATTTATAATATTAATTTGTAATCAAGAATCAGCAGGTCTGGACATCCTAGAGGGCTGGGTTTCTCCCAAAAAGAAGAAAATTTTTAGCAAAAATAAAGTGTAATTTTTGCAAAGGAGTTTTGGAGTATTTTAATTATAAAATAAGCAGTTTTGGTCTGTTTATAGTGTTTTATATATCAAAATGAAGCTAAGAATAAGCAAAATCTTTTTGCTTTTATGAGTCAAAGTAATTTACTTAATAAAATTTTGAGTTATTGCAAGAAGAACAAAAAATTGAATTTTAGCTATATTTCTATAAAAAAAGACCTTTAGAGATATAAAATTAAACTACCTATATGTAAAATTTTGTCAGAAATAATTTTACTTAGACAGTCAAAGTAGATTTACTTAGTAAAATATTGAGAAAAGTGCAATTTTTTTAGCAAAAACTTGGTATAAATGATCATCGGAAAGAGTTAGTGATTTGCATCTCATAGTATTAATTTTAAAGAATTTTTTTATAGAAAAATTAGTAATATTTTAGTAAAAAGTTTTTTTTTCTAAAAAAAAAGTTTTAAAAAAGTTTTTCAACGATTTTATAATATAAAACTTTATTTGGATTACTTATATAGTTTGGTGCATATATGTTTAATTAATTATTTTAATTTAAATCTATAAAGTAAGTTTTATTTATAGATTATTTTTAATTAAATTTTATATAAAAACTATAGAAAAAATTATTTATACATAATGTTGCATATATATTATTACATTATACATGCATTGTTACATTACACATATATTATTACATATACTATAACATTACACAAACATATTTTATATAATATACATTTTAAAAATTTTCTTTAAATTTAATTGAAGATATTTCAGCAACTAATTGATCAATTTCGATAAAAATTTTTTTATTCAGATTCTACAGATCTGTAGAATTCAAATAAAAAAAATTTATCAAAATTGATCAATTAGTTACTAAGATATCTTTAATCAAAGTTTTGTAACCAATTTTAATGCAATTCCTATGCAAGATACATGTTAAAATTATTTTTGAACTTTGATTAAAGATATCTCGACAACTAATCAATCAATTTTGATGAAAATTTTTTTATTTGAATTTTACTGATCTGTAGAATTTAAAAAAAAATTCATCGAAATTGATCAATTGGTTGCTGAGATATCTTCGATCAAAGTTTTGTGACCAATTTCAGTGCAATTTCTATACAAGATACAGATTAAAATTATTTTTAAACTTTGATCGAAGGTAACTTGACAACCAATTGATCAAATTCAATGAATTTTTTTTTATTCAGATTCTACAGAACTGGAAAATTCGAATAAAAAAAAATTCATCGAAATTGATTGATTGGTTGCTGAGATACCTTTGATCAAAGTTTTGTAACCAATTTCAGCATAGTTTTTATATGAGATACAGGTTAAAATTATTCTTGAACTTTGATTGAAGGTATCTCGGCAACCAATCGATCAAATTCAATGAAAATTTTTTTATTTGGATTCTATGGATCTGTAGAATCTAAATAAAAAAAATTTATCAAAATTGGTTGATCGGTTGCTGAGATACCTTTGATCAAAGATTTGTAACCAATTTTGGCGCAGTTTCTATGCGAAATACGGGTTAAAATTATTCTTAAACTTTGATTAAAGGTATCTCAGCACCCAACTGATCAAATTGTGAATTTTTTTTAATTCAGATTCTACAGTTCTATAAAATTTGAATAAAAAAAAATTCATCGAAATTGGTCGATTGGTTGCAGAAATACCTTTGATCAAAGATTTATAACCAATTTCAGCGCAGTTTTTATGCAAGATATAGGATAAAATTATTCTTGAACTTTGATCAAAGGTATCTCAGCAACCAACCAATCAAATTTGATGAATTTTTTTATTCAGATTCTATGGATTTGTAGAATTTGAATAAAAATAACTTCATCAAAATTGGTCTATTAGTTGCCAAGATATCTTCAATCAAAGATTTGTGACCAATTTCAGTGCATTTTCTATGTTTGATTTAAGGTTGGACCAGGTAATAGCTAAGATCTCCGAATTTTTTATATATACATACATATTTATATATATACATTATATAAAGTTTATATGAGTAAAAACCAGGATCTCTGTTAAATTTAAAATTTAATAAAGTTCCCGGAAAGGACCCCTTTTCCAAGATCCTTTGTAACAATAAATGTTTATTTTTTTTAACAGATACCCCATTTACTCAGGATCTCTGTTAAACAAAATTAACATAATATTTGAGCATTACCAACAATCAAATCTTAATAGAGGAAGATTAACATAATATTTGAGCGTTAGCAACAATCAAATTTTAGTAGAAGAAGACTAGATCTCTTACCCGGGTGATGCTCCGGGGTCTCGGTCTCTCTTTATTTAATTTTTAAGTTTTTTTAGCTTATGGGTTCAATTAAACCCAGCTTGGTTTAAATAAACTTAATTTTAGTTAACTTGAACCTTGTCTAGGTTCAAATAAACCCTATTTAGGTTTATTTAAACCTTGCTCTGATTTAAATGAACCCGATTTAAGTTTATTTAAGCCCAGGTTGAGTTCAAACAAACCTAACTTGGGTTCAAATAAACCCAGCCTAGGTTTATTTGAACCTGGCTTGGGTCTAAATGAACCTGGCCTAGATTCACTTGAACCTAGTTTGGATTCAAATAAACCCAACTTGGGTCCAAATGAACCCAGTCTAGATTTACTTGATTTTGCCTTGGTTCAAATAAGCCTGGCTTGGGTTTACTTGAACTCAGATTGGTTCCAAATAAACTGGCTTGGGTTTACTTGAACCATATTGAGTTCAAATGAACCCATATTGGATTTATTTGAACCCAATCTGGTTTAAGTGAACCCAATACAGTTCAAGTGAACCCAAGCTGGATTCATTTGTAATCAAACCAAGTTCAGGTGAACCTGATTTACTTGAAATTACTTTTTTTTATTTATTTTTTTTTTATTTTATTTAAAATTTTTTATTTTTTTTTATGGTCTGCAACTCTGTTCTAACTAATACTGCAGGACTTCGAATAACCTCTATTTACGGTGCAGTAGTGATAATTTTTGTTGATAGTAGTCAAATAACTAATATTGATATAACTTTGGTTAAATAATATTTTCAAAGAATATTCATTAGAAAGTAGTTGAAAAAAAGTTAGAGGGTAATCAATTAAGTGTTAGTAGATCTTCAATAAGTCGAGATTTCAAAAATTTTAAAAAAATGGATACATTGAAAAATTTTCGTCCTTTGTAAAAAAAGTATATCTACTAAATCTGAAAAACAGTATAACGTAAAGGATTCCTATTCCAGTTCAGAGCAAGTTATCTTGCTGTTTTGCAGTATCTGACAAGACGACAATCAAAATCTTTAGTATTTGTCATTACAATTATGTTCCAAGTATTTACTAATAGCAATGGCTTTTTTGATCAAATAGTAGAGATCTTCAAGAATAGACCATTCAATTTTAGAATACGCTTCCTGATAACATTTTTCACTTTACAATAAGCAATTAGAGTAGCTGCGCGACGCATGACACTATACAGGAACAGTACGATCAAGTATAACATTCAGATTATTTGAAAGTTATTGATAAAGGATTTTAATATTCATTAAACAAACAAAATTTAGAAATATAACGTAATTATGGTAAATACTATATGCCCGAATATTATCTTTTAGATAATAGCGTAGCACAAATTCTTTAAAGTTCATTCATTTTAGTGTTAGAGTTAATATTATGAGCTAGAGAAGGGTAGTTTGCATAGTAAAATTGCCCAATGAAAACCTTTTTGTTAGAGCACAAAAAGTGATTTCTTATGTAGAATTATTAGAAGTAAGCAAAATGAACATTTGTTTTGAATTTTCTTGATAGTGTTACATTGCAACTAATCTTGAAATTTAATTTGTAGCTCAGGCAATCTTCACACACATTCAAAGGGCACAAAATTAGGTTTAACAAGAAAATTCAAACCAAACAGCATTTCGTCAAAAATTACTTTTTTTTCGAAGAATTGCATATATAACTACTCTTCGTGCACTAATTAAAAATTTTTCTTGAGCACTTTTTATTATGTCCCTCTCTAATCTCTAGTATTAATAAGAGTTTTGACTCTAAGGCCATTCAAAGTTGATTAGTTGTTTAACGACAACATTTTGAGCTCAGGCTCAAGAGGGGGGAGGAAAAATTTAAACAAACACATATACATCACAGAATATTTGGTCAAATCTCATTGGTCAACCTTAATCACATGAATATTGAAAATTATCTTGCATTGTGATTGGCTTGTTTAATTTCTGGGAGGACAGCTAACCAAGAGGGGGGATGACGTTAAACAACTATTCAACTTTGAATGGCCTAACACTAAAATGAATTAACTTTAAAGAATTTTAACTCTGCCACAAATCTGGCGCACATTCAAGTAATGCCCTGATTTTGAAACCTGATTCGTAGCTTAGGCAATTGACACCACAAACATGGCAAACACGTTGAAGATTACAAATAATAACGAAGATAAGTACTGAGGTTATAATGATTTAATTTGATCATTATAATTAATTTAAATGACTGTTATCTTATATGATTATCATAATAATACTTAAATAAGCAAAACATGATAACCATAACACTTTCTAAAATAGGAAAGAATATAGCTCACCAAAAAGTTGAACAGAACCATCTCTCCATATTTCATATGATCATACTGGTATATTCTATTTGAATAGATTAGTGGGTCCATCAAAATTCAGCAAATCGGCCTGAATTTGTGGTCAGGGATGGGCCGAAGCAAAGTGGCAATAAGCAATAATATCGGCTAACTATATTATAGCAAAATTATCATTTGGGCAGCTTTATTTAGTGCATAGGCTGCCACTTTATTAGTAAAATTTTGTGTTTTTAGAAAAAATCTATTAATTCCGGCCTATTCCAATCAAATTTAGGCCGATTTTCTGAATTTTGGTGGACCTATTAATCTATTTCTGGTTTTTTTTGAATTATTAAAATTAGAAAAGAAAGGGAGTAAATTTATTGTCAAAACCAGCAAAGAAAATAGTTTTGCTGGTTGCGCAATCATTATTGCTTCTGGAGCAGTAGAAAAAAAGTTGGAAATTAAAGATGAAAAAAAATTTATTAATTTAGGGTTTTTTGTTGTGTTATTTGCGACGGATTTCTTTTTCAGAACCAAGAAGTAGCAGTAGTAGGTGGTGGTTATTCGGCTTTAGAAATGGCTTTGTATATAAGCACTGTGGCAAAAAAAGTTTATCTTATTCACCACTATTCAGAATTTCAAGCCTAGCCAGAAATAGTAATCCAGGCCCAAAATAATCAGAAAATAATTTTTCTTTTGAATTCTGTTTTGACTGAATTCAGGGAAGGAAATGATAGAAAAGGCTGCAGTTAATAATTTAGAAATAATGAAAAAAGTGAATTATTAGTTAAAGCAGTTTTTTCTTGTATTGGCCTTGCTTCTTTTAGCAGTTTTGCTCATTAATTATGTGTTTGCGACTGAGAAAATTATATCGCTATCAAAGATGATTGTTCAACGGCAAGTTTCAGGCTTATTTGCTGCTAGAGACGTAGCCCGTCTAACCCCTAACAAAATTAAAAATGTTCGCATATAGTATCACCCAACTGAAATCTCACTAGAAGCATCTTAAGCATCCAGAATCTCACCAGAAGTATCAAAATGTGGGAAATTTTAATTCTTGTTCCTATTTTTAGTGCGTTATCTAAACATGGTTGATGATGTTTGATTAGGGACCCGGGAGCGCAACCACTACATTATTAACTTAGGGTCAATCTAATTCATTTTTAGTCTTTAGATTAAACTTTAAAATTATATTATATAAATTTTTATAAAAGATGTAATAAACTCTAATTTTACTTTATTAATAATATTCATAAGTTAAAATTAGAGTTTATTACATCTTTTACATAATATTAAAGTTTATACTTTAAAAAAAAAATTAATCACTGATTGGTAATGTAATGTAAATATTAATTTATATATCGATCATACTAAATCACTAATCAGCCAAAAAATCAATGGGACATATACTTTGTTAATTTAACATTAACGTTAACGTAACTTTAATGTTAATATTAACATAAATGTTAACGTTAACATTAATGTTAACGTTAATGTTAACGTTAACGTTAACGTTAATGTTAAATTAATGTTAACATTAACATTTACGTTAACGTTAATTTAACATTAACATTCACATTAACTTTAACATTTACGTTAACGTTAATTTAATGTTAACATTAACGTTAACGTTAACGTTAATTTAATGTTAATATTAACATTAACGTTAATGCTAATGTTAACGTTAACATTAATGTTAACGTTAATTTAACGTTAACGTTAATATTAACGTTAATGTTAATATTAACGTTAAATTAACGTTAACGTTTATTTTAACATTAACGTTAATGTTAACGTTAATTTAACGTTAACGTTAAATTAATGTTAATGTTAATGTTAATATTAGCGTTAACATTAATTTAATGTTAAATTAACGTTAACATTAATGTTAACATTAACGTTAACGTTAATTTAATGTTAACATTAATGTTAATGTTAATTTAATGTTAACATTAATGTTAACGTTAATTTAATGTTAACATTAATGTTAACGTTAATGTTAACATTAATGTTAACAAATTAAACAGATGCCTTGTTTACTTGGGATCTCTGTTAAAAAGTTAACATTTTAATATGATGCATGACAGAGAATCGCCTTTTAGTATTGGACTAAACAGGTTCCTATATAGAATTTTTAGGTTATATTATATATATAGGAACCTGCTTCGCAGGTTCCAATTTTGCGTAACCAACAATCACCCTTTAGTATTGGAAGGATAACATTCTATATGTCTACATTTATATATACAATTAGACACAAATTAACTATTAACTATTTACAAGTATGTCATATAACTATATAAAAGTCTAATTAAAGTATACCCTTTACTATAAACTTCGTATAGACTATTATAGAGTTACACTACAAATTGCACATATTCTAAAAGCCAAAGTTTATTTTTGAAACTTGGTTGTGTTATATATTCCTCCTCTTGAAGGATAAGCACTACTCAAATCCTGATATTCTCAAAATGTTTTGATCATATCACATGCTTCTTATTTATTTGAAATCATCAAGATCGATTCTTCAACATATTCAATATATCTTTTGTTAAATTGTCAGCATTGATTACTACATATCACTTGAATCACTGTTTCGATATCGTTATCTTGAATCTGAAGGTTGTAGATTTCAATTTCTTGTGGTCACAATTCGTCTCTAATTTATCCACTTTCTTAAAATTTCTAATTTTCCAAATGTAAAATGTTGTGTGAATATATATTTTTATGAATATTTGACAGATTATAGGTTGTAGGTGTTCTTTTTTCACATCTACTTATCATAGCCATCCCTACTTTACTACGTCCATTAATCTTCAGTTAGGTAATAATTTCTTTACTTCTAATATCTTATTTTATTTATATGTTACTCATTCTCCAATTTTCTATACACTCAAATTCTGACTTATATGTGTGATTTTTGATTTGATTTTTTTTTTAAGCATTCTGTTTAATCATATGACTCTGATTGCAATTGACTATCTATAATTTATAAGTGTTGATTGGATATCTGCAGTTAAGTATTTTAATTACAATTTATATTGTCGAATTATTGTTTGTACTAATTTGAATTGTACTAAAAAAATTTTTTTTTTTCATTGCTTATTTAATTGCACATTTTATATTTTTCATTTATTCTCCAATCTCTGTTAAACTTCCATCTGGGTCAAACGTGACTCTAGATAATGCATCAAAATTGCCCATTTGCTTTCTTGGTTTATGTTTGATTATAAAATCATAACCTTGCAGTATCATAATGTATTTGGCTATTCTTTCAGTTGGATTTAACATATTGTTTAGGTAAGTCAATGCACTGTGATTTGTTATCAAAGTAAATTGAGAATTATGCAAATATTGATGAAACTTTTTCACAGCCCAAATAATTATTGTACACTCCAATTTAGTGATAGTATAATTCTTTTCTAAGGGTTTTATTAATCAACTGGCATACTTAATAACATATTCACGCCCATCATTATCTACTTGTGCTAATATAGCACCCAAAGCTACATGTGACGCATCTTAATACAATAAAAATTCCTTGTCATCTTGTGGATGTGCCAAATCGGGGCCGTTATTAAACATGTTTTTAACTCTACAAATGCCTTTTCTTGTTTCTCTTTCTATTAATATGTTTTGTAATTTTTAACAACATGTATAGGACCGCAGATATTTTTAAAAAATCTTAGACAAACTGACGATAATATCCAGCAAGTCAAAGAAAATTTTGTAACATTCGCACATTTGTTGATATAGAGAAATTCTTCACAGCAGCTATCTTTAATTCAGGCAGCAATACCTATACCAATAATTTCATGGCCAAGGTACAATATTTTCTTTTGCCAAAGAAACATTTGTCTGGGTTTAATTTCAAGTTGGCTTCTCAAAGCCTAGACAGTATGATCTTTATATTAACCAAATAAGTATCAAAGTCAAAAAAGTAATTATTTATATTGTTGTTACATCAAAGCAAATTTTCATAATTTGTTTTTGAGTACTCTATCCATCAGCCTTTGAAATATTGCAGGAGCATTTGTCAAAAAAAAACAGCATCACCACAGATTTGTAAAGGCTGTATTTCATCATAAACACTGTCTTCTCTTGGTCTTGAAGTTTCATTTCAACTTGCCAGAAGCTACTTGCAAGATCTAATATAATATACCATACTGAATTCTCAAGGCTCCTAGAAGTTCATTGATTTAGGGAAATGGGTAACTATCACATTTCATTCTTTAATTTAACTTGTGAAGGTTGATGCAAAAACGTAACTTTCTATTCTTTTTTTTTACCAGGACAACCAAAGATACCCAAGGACTATTTGATAGCTTTATCAACCCAGTTTCTTCCAAATGTTGAATTTCCTAACTGATGAATTTGTATTTAACTCTGAAAATAGAGTAGAACCTTTGCTTGATTGTAGAACCTTCGACTATATGGACTTCATATCACATGACCATTATATGACCCATCTTATAAAGTTCATGCACAAACAAATTCTGATAATTTCTTAACATTTCTAATATTTGTTGGTTTTGCTTTACAGTTTGTCACAATGTTTAACCTATAGGTCGATATCTTCACATACTTAGAAGGTATACAGTCCAATCATTCTCACAATATTCTTTTAAACACAAATATTACTATTTTTCTGTTCTTTATATACAAACTGCAAACTTTATTTAAGGTCCTTGTTGAACGAAGCTCGTAGAAGAAATATTCCTGATTAATTAAGGCTTTATTGTTGTCAGTGTCTTCTTTATCACTATTTTCAGAACTTGTACTATTCTTATCATCATTATCGTCAATGTTATTAGATATTTAGATATTTCTTTGTCTTTTTCTTTTTTTGTCTCTATACTAGTGGTCTTGGGTTGTATATGATTGCTGATATATGCTAGCTTACAATATTGATCAGGATTTTTATTTCTTTATTACCATCTATAATTGTAAGTTCGCAAGATTTTGAATCCAATTTAGCCCTAGCCTTCTTTATCTATTGTTTCTAATAATTGCGGCATAGTTAGCAACATCTGTGACAACAGCTTTAGATATGATTGTTTTTCTACCTATAGTTACAGAAAAATGATCAACTTTAACTAATGGCTGTTTTTGTTCACAGTGAATTCCAGTCATCAACACAGTTGAAAGACTATTGATTGCAATTCCAGTCTCTTTTAAAAATCCTACAGAGAAGACACAATCTGAAGATCTACTATCCAAAATTAAGATGATCTGCATGTGTTCACATAGGCTTCACAATATATAAATATCATATATCTATTATTCATTCAACCTAACTGAATGTCAACAAACTTCAACTTGACACTTGACCAGAGTGCAACAATTTAAGCACCTCTTTTTTAACATCTGATGCAGCTTGAAACAGTTGTGCATATGTTATATCAAACTTTTTACCCTGAAAATAGGACATAATCGAATATGGCTGAATGCCATCTATCACCAGAGGGTCGATCAGCCTGGTCCTTTTCTTCTTTTTAACTTTAGGCTTCTTATTTACATGATCAGTCTTATCAACAGTTTCATTTTGAGGTGAGAATACAACTTTGTCAAGATTATTATTATCTTTTTATTGTCATTTTGCTAGATAGGCCTTCTCAATCTTATATACTAAGGGATTTGTAGACATC